ACCATTATAAGATTGTGATCAGACATTCCTGTAAGCAAATTGTATGATTTTAAGAACATTTCTGACCCATTAGTAAAAGCTAGATCAATCTGGGTGCAGGTGGAGTTTGTAATTCTCGTAGGGCCATTAATTACCTGAGTCATATCCATATCATTCCATAACCTTTTTCAATTTTTTCCTAACTTTGTTAACTTCCCAATTATCATTTAGGTCACCCATTATTATCACCTCTTTTGCAAGATTGAGTTGTTTCAATAAAATATCCAGCTTTTCAAAAAAATCCACATTTGATAATAACTACAAGAGTAAAAGAAATTTGCTGTGACAAGGAGACTGTCAGTCCAAGAAACTTCAATCCATTTTCATGTGTAACATGTATCTCATTACAATTAAAAGTATCCTTGGCATAAATCATAACACCTCCTCCCTTGGAACCCTGTCTGTCTTTCCTAAACATTTTATAACCAGGTACAGTTAGTATTGCTAAGGGCGAAGATTCATGGAGCCATGTCTCAGATAGGCAAAGGAAGTCAATATTTGAGTCAGTGAGAAGGTGATGGACCTGATCACATTTTGTTAGAATACTTCGTATATTTAAGTGTGCACAAAGAATGCCTTTTGGTTTATGTGTTGAATCCCATATTAGTTTAGCGTTATTAACGGTTTGAAATACCCTGAATTTCCGGTGTTTTGATATTGCGGGATTTGGCAGCCTCCAGTTTCTTTTATTGACATCTACCATTGGCCCAGTTAACAGAGGCGGAGGCCCAGCTAGCGGTGGTGTTGGCACCAGTAGCAGTGGTGAAGATCCAGCTAGCAGAGGTGAAGGCCTCTGGTTGTGTGCAGTGGTGTGCTGTGTCACAATGACAAGTAGTTCACTTTTCTTTCTTTCCTAAATATGACACAAATGTCAGTATGTTGTTGAAACAGAAAGACAAATAAAAGCAGATAGATGTCTGTGTTTTACACCTTGTTGTCGTCGTGTTCTTTTATTGGATAATGAAGAGAAGCAATCAGGTTCCAATTGAAGCGGTCTTTATTTGCAGAGCTCTGGCTTGTTATGCTTGTGTTACAGGATGTGCATCGAGAGCCAAATTCTAATTCCCCCCTCCAGTACGCCGAGTGCATACTTTTATATAAATATCTAAAGCGTATCTTCCAACAATCAATGTCTATCTATTCCTTCTAAGAAATAGGTCTTGGTATGGTTGTGTCACCAAGTCACATCTGCAGAGCATTCACTATATGTCTATATTTAATATTATGTGGTTATGGAGCAAGCGGGTCTAGTGCAATGTTCGTGCATCAGCGGCATCTTATGAAACCTTGTGTGGGTGTATCCTGTGAGCAGGTCATGAGCAGTTCGTGTATGGTGACAGGTCATGAACAGTTCGTGTATGGTGACATGAGGCCTTCAACCTGTTTTGTGACTAAGCCAAATGTTGGAATCATTAATAAAGAAAAACGACAAGAAAGATATGCATAAGTATCAAACTCGATGCACAAAATTTAGCTTCTCAGAGTTGGTGGTTTTTAGCCATTACTGTCCTCAATTGTTTAAAATTGAGATTAATTAATTATGATCTGTAATTAATTGATCTAATCGATTTTTTAATCTCACCTAAAAAATACTGAGAAAAGCCCTCAACTTGCGGTATTTTCATTTAATTTCATTACATTATTGTGGCAGATCAAAAGATTGATATATAACAAAATTGGCTTTATAAAGTCATTTATTGTTTTTAACAGCTTCGAACAGAGCAGAGACTTGTCTCAAGACTGCCTGCAACCTTTAGTTATGTCCACCATGGAGGGAATATTGGTGTTCTTTTCTCAAGTTTAGTTTTCTTTTCGCCGTCGTACATCTTTGTGATTTTGGTCGTCACTGTAAGACCTGCACGGTGGCTTGTATGATGGGTCATTGGACGGGGTTCGCAACACCTCTGTTAACCCGTCGTCTGCCAGTATGTTTATCGGCCTGCAGTTTATCGCTATCCACTTGACTAGAACATTCGCCAGCCTGTCGGTCGCAGACTTGCTCAGACGCGGGGTTTTCTCCTCGAGTTTAGTTTGGCGAAGAGCTTTGCTATGGTTCGCTAAATTGCTAACGTTTCGCTGCTAACGTTAGCTGTGGCTGCACTCGCCGCTGGGCGGTTTGCGTTGATGCGGTACACTAAACTTGAGCTGCTTCGGTGGTAAGCAAATTTCTTCTTACAATGAAGGCATATTACAAGAGCTTTGGTGCCATCTGGATGTTTTTGAAACTATCACACGCTCCTCCATTTTCACATCTCCTCATTAGTGATGTGTCGTTCGCGAGTGATTCGTGAGTTCAATATGAACGAATCTTTCATATGACTCGTGACTCTCGAGTCATATTAAAGATTTGTTCATATTGAACTCACGAATCACTCTCTGTGAACTAATCTTTCACTGCGAACTAATCACTCACTGCGAACAAATCACTCTCTGCGAACTAATCTTTCACTGTGAACTAATCTTTCACTACGAACGAATCACTCTCTGTGAACTAATCTTTCACTATAAACGAATCACTCTGTGATCTAATCTTTCGTTTCATTCTCGCAGATTCGTTTCATTTGTCACGTGACAGAGAGCGCAGGTCTCTTTTGCTCTCATTCATCGTCACATTGTGGTGTTTTTCTTTCTTAGGTTTTCACATGGTTTTAATTGCTTATGGCATTTTGTGTACTTTGTAGACTTTTTCAGCGGAAGCAAACCATGTTGCCTTCAGTATTTAGTGTCGGAGAACCACAGCCTTCTTTACAACACCCACAATAGGGCAAAAGCGCCACCTGCTGTAAAATGAATGAAATTATTCGTTCACGACTCGTTCATTTTACTGTTCGAGAGTCAAAGATCCGAATCAGTAAAAAGAGTTGGTCTTCCCATCACTACTCCTCATCGCTCCATACTCTGTCCTCCTCAAGGTCAATGGGAGCCTATCAGATTATGCTAAACAAGCCCAAATACAATGACAGTCAATCAATGTCCACTTCAGGTGTGACTGACCATTGTTTTCCACCGCCAACAACTCAAGCACAAGCCCAACACATAAAAACGGATTTAAAAAAAAAAAGAGATTAAAAAATGTAAGGCGCTAAATGTGTCTGTAATTAATTAATCGCAATTAACGCGTTAATTTGACACCCTTATTCAAAACACCAGAGAGCCTGTGGAAATATTAAGCTATGCCTGTCTCTGTTTTTGGGAGTCATTGTTATGAATAACAGTAGTAACCTAAAAATAAAACTGAAGTTAACACTGATATTTTATTTAACAGGAGTCCATCTTGTGAACCAGACTTTTTCTGTTAAGCGGTGAAATATCTGCGAGGCAAAACTCGAGAACTAACATGAATCTCCAGCAGCCAGGCCCCGCCATCCCCCCCATCCACCCTGATGTACAGATAAAGCCACTGCCTTTCTATGATATGCTGGATGTCCTGATCAAGCCTTCCAGCTTAGGTCTGTGTTGTTGATTGAGAATACCACATAATTTCATATTTATTTTAATATTACTTTTAATATGGCCCAATTGTAACATGTGAGGTATTCTATATAAAAGCAAACATGTATTTTTACATTTTGTCTAAATGTAAAAACATATTGTAGTAGGTAAGCTTTCAAATGACAATTTCAATTTGCTTATATGCCAAAAATGCATGTGTGAATATATTTTTATAGCACACATTAAATACAGAGCTATTAAATTGTTACCATAATGTTCTGTTTGAACTAGGATCTCTGTAATGATCATAAGTAAAGTAAGTCATCGGTAAAATTATGTGTTGCCTTTACACTTTTATCGTTACCAACTCTGGGTTTAATTCCTCCTTAATTTTACCTAACAGTCAAACAAATGAAGTTACCATGAGCATATATGTAACATATGTACCTCTCTAAACCTAAAAATGAATTATTTGTATTGCAGGAGTAAGCACTGCACAGAGGTACCACCAAGAAAAATATTTTATCTTTGCTCTGACACCACAGCAAGTTCGAGAAGTATGCATATCCAGGTAGGACTGAACCGTAGACATTTGTTTCAGAGTGGCTATGATGGTGTTAATAACATTAAATTATTGAGAAAAGAGCTGTTTTTGTCTGCAGGGACTTTTTACCAGGTGGCAGAAGAGATTATATGGTCCAAATTCAGCTGAGGTGAGAGGCCAGATTTGTTTCGAGTGCTGTCAAAATATGATTAATTAAAGTAAGGATACATTAATATTTAGATTTATGAGGTTCATACCTGCTTGATAAATTTGATTATGTATAAAGCACTGAATGCCTCTCAGTGAGTCATTCTTATTTAAACAATTCAGTAATTTTAAATGATCCTGCCACACCCCCCCTCCCTCTGAACTGGGTAGCTAAAGCGATTCACTCCTAGTTACAGTGCATCCGGTATTCACAACGCTTCAATTTTTTCACATTTTGTTATGTTACAGCCTTATTCCAAAATGGATTAAATTCTTTTTTTTTTCCCCACCCCCCCCCCCCCCCCCCCCCCCCCGAACTGGGTAGCTAAAGTCATTCACTCCTAGTTACAGTGCATCCGGTATTCACAACGCTTCAATTTTTTCACATTGTTATGTTACAGTCTTATTCCAAAATGGATTTTTTTTTTCCAAAATTCTACGCACAACACCCCATAATGATGTTAAAAAGTTTTTGAAATTGTTGCAAATTTATTAAAAATAAAAAACCTGAGAAATCACATGTACATAAGTATTTACAGTCTTTGCTCAATACTTTGTTGCTGCACCTTTGGCAGCAATTACAGCCTCAAGTCGTTTTGAATATGATGCCACAAGCTTGACACACTTATCTTTGGGCAGTTTCGCCCATTCCTCTTTGCAGTACCTCTCAAGGTCCATAAGGTTGGACGGGACGCGTCGGTGCACAGCCATTTTCAGATCTCTTCAGAAATGTTCAGTTGGATTCAGGTCTGGGCTCTGGCTGGGCCACTCGGGGACATTCACCGAGTTGTTCTGAAGCCACTCCTTCGATATCTTGGCTGTGTGCTTACCTGCTGAAAGATGAACCGTCACCCTAGTCTGAGGTCAAGAGCGCTCTAGAGCAGGTTTTCATCCAGGATGTCTCGGTACATTGCTGCATTCATCTTTCCCTCTATCCTGACTAGTCTTCCAGTTCATGTTGCTGAAAAACATCCCCACAGCATGATGCTGCCACTACCATGCTTAACTGTAGGGATGGTATTGGCATGGTGATGAGCGGTGCCTGGTTTTCTCCAAATGTAACCCCTGGCATTCACTCCAAAGAGTACATTTTTTGTCTCATCAGACCAGAGTCCTTCATGTGCCTTTTGGCAAACACCAGGTGGGCTGCCATGTGCCTTTTACTAAGGAGTGGCTTCCGTCTGGCCTCTGGGAGGTTCTCCTCTCTCCACAGAGTAACGCTGGAGCTCTGACAGAGTGACCATCGGGTTATTGGTCACCTCCCTGACTAAAACCCTTCTCCCCCAATCACTCTAGGAAGAGTCCTGGTGGTTCCAAACTTCTACTTACGGATGATGGAGGCCACTGTGCTCTTTGGAACCTTCAAAGCAGCAGAAATTTTTCTGTAACCTTCCCCAGCCTTGTGCCTCGGGACAATCCGGTCTCGGAGGTCTACATACAATTCCTTTGTTTTCATGCTTGCTTTGTGCTTTGACATGCACTGTCAACCCTGGGACCTTATATAGACAGGTGTGTGCCTTTCCAAATCATGTCCAATCAACTGAATTTACCACAGGTGGACTCCAATTAAACTGCTGACATCTCAACACATCTCAAGGATGATCAGTGGAAACAGAATACACCTGAGCTCAATTTTGAGCTTCACGGCAAAGGCTATGAATACTCATGTACATTTTTTCTCAGGTTTTTTATTTTTAATAAATTTGCAACAATTTCAAAAAAACGTTTTTAACATTGTCATTATGGGGTGTTGTGTGTAGAAAAAAAATGAATTTAATCTATTTTGGAACAAGGCTGTAACATAACAAAATGTGGGAAAAGTGAAGCATTGTGAATACTTTCTGGATGCACTGTATGGAAGGATCTGCTATTTGCTTTGCACCTGTCAGATGCATATGCAACTCTAGTGTGTTACCAGCAGTCATTTCTGCCTCACTCTTTAACCGTTGCTATGGATATGTGAAGCAGTCTTTAGATGTTCTTTCTGTATAAGAGATGTGTGCAGAGAAACATCCAGCTGTTACAGTTATATTGCATATACTGATATGCATTTGCAATTATTATGGTCAACACTGTTGAAATCACAGTATTGTAAGTCATAAATATTGTATTGTATTTCCCTAGGGGTAAATTGCTTTGGTATAAATGAAAGGGATCATAAGACCTTCGATGGTTTTTCAAGGTGACTCTGTACATTAAGCTATTTTTGTGTTTGTAGGTTTTGCCTGTCAGAAACGAGTTGTCCTCAAGAGGATAATTACCCCAACAGTCTGTGTATAAAGGTTAACGGAAAGCTTTTTCCTCTGCCAGTAAGTTTCAGAGTCTAGTTACAGTACGAACAAATTCTCTTCTTTCTGTTGCATGGATTCCAAGAGCTTGTTCTACTTTTAGGGTTATGCACCTCCTCCAAAAAATGGTGTGGAACAGAAGAGACCAGGTAGACCTCTGAACATCACATCCCTTGTCCGACTTTCGTCTGCTGTACCCAATCAGATTTCAGTCACGTGGGCTCCTGAAATTGGAAAGGTGAGAACAACAAGAACTAAATTGTAAATCTGCTTCTTTTTGTCTTTTGCTTGGATTGAAAAGATCATTACTGTCTGTTGATTTTCAGACCTATTCCATGTCTGTGTACCTGGTGAGACAGCTGACATCACCGCTGCTGCTGCAGAGGCTGAGAATGAAGGGCATTAGAAACCCAGATCACTCCAGAGCGCTAAGTAACTACATGGTCCATCATTATGAAAACACACGTTTTTTTATGTTTCAATACAGATGAAGTTAAAACCTGTATTCGAGAGATGTTTTCACCATAACTGCAAATGTATTAATTTGTCAATTAAATGAACTTTTAGCAGCTGCAGTGATCATTCTTCAGTTATTCAGTGACTTTTTTTTAACAAAACACACCCGAAACTTCTCACACAGGAGAGTTGGTTGTTTATTATTGCAACATCCTTGTCTATTTGCCGCTAACAGTGGAATCATGTTCTGGGTTTTTGCTTGTGTGGAAAAGTTTGTCTTACATTTCCTTACTATGATTGACTCAATTGCCTCTAAGGCTGAAACCTTCCATGTTTTCTTTCATAATTTGGAACACTGATCTTAGATATGAGGTTATACTCATCAGTAAATTCCTAAGACTTTACATAGTGGTTTACTTTCTGTGCCTCGTAAAGGTTTTGCATTTCATCTGCTTCTTCATTCTGTGTTTTAGTTAAAGAGAAGCTCACGGCGGATCCAGACAGTGAGATTGCTACAACCAGCCTCCGGGTCTCACTGATGTGTCCAGTAAGTGTAGTATCCCAGTTTTTCACTGGGATAATGTGCCTTCTGAATCCCAGTTGTCATTACCGTTCCTTTCTGTGTGTATTTTTTGACCAACATTTGTGTTTACATATGGTACAAAAATTCTAAAATTCAAGTCTTTCTTAAAAAGGTTTACAATTGTTTATTTGAACTGAGTCTGTGTTATGTTACAGTTGGGGAAGATGAGGCTGACGGTGCCATGCAGAGCAGTGACCTGCTCTCACCTGCAGTGTTTTGACGCTACGCTCTACCTTCAGATGAATGAGAAGAAACCCACCTGGATCTGTCCTGTGTGTGACAAGAAGGCCACTTACGAGAGCCTCATCATTGACGGGTTGGTCTCACTTGTTATTGTTGATGCACTGGTGTGTCTTTTGTTAAAAATATCAACTAGATAAACTGAGGTCATAGTATTATTAAAGTTGCGACAAAAAAAGTACAAGGTTCAGTCATTATTCTTGTGGATTAGGAATCAATAAAGATATTTTTTATTCAGTTTATTCCTGGAAATCCTGAGTGACTGCTCAGATGTGGACGAGATCAAGTTTCAGGAAAATGGAACGTGGTGTCCCATGAGACTAAAGAAAGAGTCAGTCAAGGTCCGCTCCCAGTCACTTCCAGAAATTGAGGGTAATTTTGTTGACATAATACATGGTCATGGTGTAAAAAGCTTCTGCCAACAAATACTATTTTTATTATGGCTTAGTCTAATACTGGCCCAAAAATAGTTGTTTTTTACTAAGTATGTCAGTACTCTGTATTTTAGCTCCGGTGCGACAAACGTCCATGGCCTCTCCTACTGAGCCCACCTCCACCAAGAAGGCCGATGTGATCGATCTCACGCTGGAAAGCTCCTCCTCTTCCTCTGATGAAGAGGACACAGCTCCTCTGCTGAAGAAACACTGCATATACCTTTCCAAGAATGAGCAAGTGCATACAAAGGGGTAAGACCGCGCCCCTCTGTCGTGGGTTCTAGAACCTACAAACAAATTACGAATGTTGTTGTCAAAGCATTAATTATGTTTTATTGGCCACACTGTTGAGTAGTGGTTTGTAACGTTGCCTCTCCACATGCTAAGAGTGTTCTTTCTTTGCACTCAGAGTGTTAACGTTCCAGCCCACTGTGCACATGCCTAATGTCCAGCCTCTGGACCCGACCTATCTGACCTCTCCTCTGACTGACTATGCAGTTCTCTTTCATCAGTCCCCACAGGCCAGCATCCCAGCAGAGATGCAGGGTGAGTCCACTGCCCAACAGTAGAAACCTTCTCACTCATTTGTGACGCTGTCTAAAATAATAATAAAAAAATTCTCCTGTGTCATCGTTAGGTCTGGATTTGTTTTCCTTAATACAAGCAGATCAGGTAGGGTTTTCCCTTCTTCTGTAGTATAAGCTGCCATAGTGTAATGTTGATTTTCAGTCAAATACTTAGATACTACAAACATAGTTAATTGGAACAAGGTATAATTCTTAATTTAACTTTGTTGCTTAAATCTATAAATTACAGCCAAGGCAGGATTACCATTTTAATCTCAGAACCTCCTGTTTTGTTTTCCCTACTCAGCATTACCACCCTCAAATGTTTCTTGACAACTTGGCCAGCAGCAAGCAGAGCACAGCTGTTGCCAGCACAAGTGCCGCCCTGGTGTCCTCGAGCAGTCATTACGAATCCAGTGTCCATGCTGCCGGCTCCCTCCATGAAACCCGGGTCATCACAGGAGGAGGCGGAGCCAGAGGCAGGAATGACAACATAATTTCAGACATTATTTCACTTGACTGAGCCGCAGCTCACTTCATAGACTGTAGATCATAAATCGACGTAGCGTTCCTGTTTCTCGGCAAACCTCCATGTTAATCATTTAAGCTGAAGTTGTCCTATTAGATATCTGAAGAGTGACAGAATCTTTTTCTTAAAGACTTTTGTTCTCATATTGTCTCCTACTGCCACTTGGTCTTCACTTTGTTTTGATTGACAGGAAGGCTACTTCCATATATTATATACAGTCTGTTGTCCCAGTGGGCCTTCTTGGGCCTGTTTTGTGGCCTTTTTAATATTCTGGGCTACACATGTAAGGGTTGGTTGTCTCAGAGTGTTAGCGTTCCAGCCCACTGTGCACATGCCTAATGTCCAGCCTCTGGACCCGACCTATCTGACCTCTCCTCTGACTGACTATGCAGTTCCCTTTCATCAGTCCCCACAGGCCAGCATCCCAGCAGAGATGCAGGGTGAGTCCACTGCCCAACAGTAGAAACCTTCTCACTCATTTGTGACGCTGTCTAAAATAATAATAAAAAAATTCTCCTGTGTCATCGTTAGGTCTGGATTTGTTTTCCTTAATACAAGCAGATCAGGTAGGGTTTTCCCTTCTTCTGTAGTATAAGCTGCCATAGTGTAATGTTGATTTTCAGTCAAATACTTAGATACTACAAACATAGTTAATTGGAACAAGGTATAATTCTTAATTTAACTTTGTTGCTTAAATCTATAAATTACAGCCAAGGCAGGATTACCATTTTAATCTCAGAACCTCCTGTTTTGTTTTCCCTACTCAGCATTACCACCCTCAAATGTTTCTTGACAACTTGGCCAGCAGCAAGCAGAGCACAGCTGTTGCCAGCACAAGTGCCGCCCTGGTGTCCTCGAGCAGTCATTACGAATCCAGTGTCCATGCTGCCGGCTCCCTCCATGAAACCCGGGTCATCACAGGAGGAGGCGGAGCCAGAGGCAGGAATGACAACATAATTTCAGACATTATTTCACTTGACTGAGCCGCAGCTCACTTCATAGACTGTAGATCATAAATCGACGTAGCGTTCCTGTCTCTCGGCAAACCTCCATGTGAATCATTTAAGCTGAAGTTGTCCTATTAGATATCTGAAGAGTGACAGAATCTTTTTCTTAAAGACTTTTGTTCTCATATTGTCTCCTACTGCCACTTGGTCTTCACTTTGTTTTGATTGACAGGAAGGCTACTTCCATATATTATATACAGTCTGTTGTCCCAGTGGACCTTCTTGGGCCTGTTTTGTGGCCTTTTTAATATTCTGGGCTACACATGTAAGGGTTGGTTGTGTCACATGCCGAGTTTCACACAGAACCTTCCAAATTAGTATAAATATATAAAATTAGTGTTTTTGCTGATTTGATGGAGGCAAGGGGTGTGCTGACAGTTCTTTTTTTTCAAAAAGTCAACTCCTTCTACACTCAGCCCATTAGAAGTTCAGCAATTTTAGGTGGAGAGAACTTCAGTTTTCAAAGTTGATTTATACCAATTTATAACCTCATATGAACATGTGACCTGCGTGTCATCTGTTTGGTGTGAACACAAAAATACTGTGTGAAAGAAGAGAAAGCGGTCTTTGCTACATCCTCACATGTGAATGAACATTTGCGAGTAAGAGGTCTCTCTGTGAGAAATACTTTTCCCCTCCACACACACACACGCACGTTTTCTTGTTTTTACTGTTATCTGTGGCTTTTCTAAGCCCATTTTTGCCTTTCAGTCAGACTGAAACATGGGAGGCAGCTCAGTGATACAACAGTTATTATCACAGTACCTTGATGTGGCGGTGGTGGGGGGAGGAGGGTTATTACAGTGCAGCTTTTGTGTTGTTCACTTTATTTTCTCTCACTGTACAGTCATTTAGTCAGCAATAACAATGTCAGTGGTGACAACTGGAGAGACCATTGACAGCTCGGAAAGACGCACAAAAATACTGTGTGAAAGAAGAGAAAGCGGTCTTTGCTACATCCTCACATGTGAATGAACATTTGCCAGTAAGAAGTCTCTCTGTGAAAAATACTTTTCCTCTACACACACACACGCACGTTTTCTTGTTTTTACTGTTATCTGTGGCTTTTCTAAACTCATTTTTGCCTTTCAGTCAGACTGAAACATGGGAGGCAGCTCAGTGATACAACAGCTATTATCACAGTACCTAGATGTGGCGGTGGTGGGGGGAGGAGGGTTATTACAGTGCAGCTTTTGTGTTCACTTTATTTTCTCTCACTGTACAGTCATTTAGTCAGCAATAACAATGTCAGTGGTGACAACTGGAGAGACCATTGACAGCTCGGAAAGACGGCAACTGGGGCAGGGAGGGCTAGCACCCCAACCTGTATCTCCCGTGAGGGAGAAACCCAAAATCAGCTACGAAGAAACCTTCTGAGATATACCCCCAGGGGAGCCCGAAAGGGGGGGAGAATGAGAGCCCCAACTGGACGGACTTAATGGCATCGACACAGGACAATGATAACTCGACCATGAATGCAAGATGCATCTGCGGAAAAGTGTGCAAAAACCTGCATGGCCTAAAGATACATCTGGCCAGGATGAAGTGTAGGGACCAGGGGAATATACTGCAACGCACAGGACCTGATTCTGGTGAGACGCAGGAGGAGCCCGGCCCCTCCAAGCAGTAGAACCTCTGAACCCCTGCAGAATAGTCCAACACAAGCAGCTCAAGTGGCCTTCAGCCAACAGCCAGACAGTATGGGCACAATTTTACACAGACGTGAGCCAGATCTTGGAAACCACCGCCAAGGGAGAAGTGGACAAGCGCCTTGAGACCATGACGGCCATCATCGTCAGCTATGCAGCAGAGAGGTTTGGCCACAGTGAGGGCAGGAACACCAAGACCAGCTACACGATGAACCGCAGGGCCACCCAGATCCACAACTTACACCAAGAACTCCGGAGCCTCAGGAAACAGTACAAGGTGGTCAGTGAAGAGGAGAAACAACCACTCGCTGATCTTCGCAACATCCTGAGGAAGAAGCTCATGACGCTGCGTCGGGCAGAGTGGCACCGAAGGTGGAGAAAGGAGAGAGCAGGGAAGCACACTGCGTTCATTTCCAAGAAGAAGCTGCTGGGCGATAAGCGCAGTGGCAACCTCATGTGCTCAACTGCGGAGGCAAACGCTTTCTTGCACAACACCCTGAGCGACCTAGACAGGGACCAGGAGCTTGGACCACAGAGGGCCCTTATAAGCCCGCAAGCGCCAGCAGTGGAGTTTGTAATGAGAGAGCCCAGCTGGACAGAAGTGCAGGAGGTTGTGAGGGGAGCCAGAACAGCATCAGCCCCAGTGGTGTTCCATACACCATGTACAAACACTACCCACATCTACTTCGACACCTGTGGAAGATTTTGAGGGTGATCTGGCGCAAGGGAAAAGTTGCAGGCCAATGGAGATGCGCAGAGGGTGTATGGATCCCGAAGGAAGAGGACTCAAAGGACATCAGTCAGTTTAGAACCATCTCGCTGCTAAGCGTCAAAGGCAAGATTTTCTTCAGCATTTTGACGTGATGACTAACAGAGTTCCTTCTGAAGAACAGCTACATTGACACCTCTGTTCAGAAGGGTGGGATTCCTGGAGTGCCTGGCTGTCTGGAACACACTGGTGTGGTGACCCAGCTCATCAGGGAGGCTCATGAAGGAAAAGGCGATTTGACCGTACTCTGGCTGGACCTTGCCAATGTGTACGGCTCCATACCTTACAAGCTTGTTGCTCGCCCTCCTGCGATATCATGTTCCCAGCAAAGTTACAGACCTTATCCTGGAATACTACAACAATTTCAGGCTAAGAGTCACTGCTGGGTCAGGTACATCAGACTGGCACAGACTTGAGGAAGGCATAATAACAGGCTGCACAATCTCAGTCATTTTGTTTGCACTCGCCATGAACATGATCGTCAAGTCAGCAGAGGTGGACTGTAGGGGACCCTTGACAAAATCTGGAGTACGCCAGCCCCCTATAAGAGCTTTTATGGATGACCTAACAGTCACCACCATATCTGTCCCTGGCAGTAGATTGATTCTCCAAGGCCTAGAGAAGTTCATCACATGGGCAAGGATGAGCTTAAAGCCAGTAAAATCCAGGTCTCCAGTGCTCAAGATGGGAAAGGAAACAGACAAGTTCCGTTTCTCTCTGGCTGGACCCACCATCCCTTCCATCACAGAGCAGCCAGTTAAGAGCCTCGGGAAGTACTTTGATTGCAGCCTCAAAGATTCCACATCCATCCAGAGAACCAGCAAGGAGCCCGAGCACTGGCTGAGGCGTGTTGACAAATCAGGCCTGCCAGGGTGATTTAAGGCTTGGATTTACCAACATTCCGTCCTGCCCCGGATCCTGTGGCCTCTGCTCTTGCCGATCCCGTTCAGTGGACTCACTGAAGAGTTCATGGTGACCAGAACACGGGAAATCCTGCAGTACAGGGAATTCAGGGATACGAAGGTGGCATCGGCTGGCATCCAGGTGCGAACAGGCAGGAAATGGAGGGCAGACGAAGCTCTGGAAGTGGCAACCGCCATGTCTGGGGCAAAACGGAGACACTATCCTGTCCCCAGTGTGCAG